GCTCGGTGGAGGAGCCGCGGCCCGTCGGGGGCGGACGCGGAGCGGGGAAGCACCGTGCTGGGTGTCCCAGCTTCCCTCCCTCTGCCTTGTGTCCCCGGGATTCCCCGGAGCGCAGAGTGTGCGCTCGGGAGGGAAAGGAAGAACCACATGAATCCAAGAGCTCAGCAAAAGCGCTGCCCTCGGGCTCCGGTCCCGTCGCTGCCCGAGTGACCCCACAACGTTGGCGGCCTTTACAGGCCGGGGCACGAATGGGCTGAGCAGCAGTGACACGTCCCGGCCCCAGCCGAGGCTGCCACCCCCGCGGAGCAGAGGGGAGCGAACATTTGCCCCCTCAGGCACCGTGTGCCCGAGCCCCTTCCCCTCCCGGCCGGGGACAGGCCGGGCCAGGCCAGGCCAGCAGCAGGGCCTGTGCCCAGCTCTGCTCGGGCTGCCTTCCAGCCGCAGGGCTCTCCCGCCCAGAGCAGCTCCCTGCGGGAAGGCTGCTGGGTGGCTGGATGCAGGAGAAGGCGCACAGCTTCCCTGGATTCCCTGGCAGCCACGAGGAGGGCCTGGAGCAGGACACACCGTTCCCTGTCAGCGCCGGGAAGACATGAGGTCCCCACTTGCTCACCGCAGGTTGGTTGTGAGTCACAGTCAGCACTCAGGGGTGGAAAGGGCTGAAGCTTTTTTCCTATTCTATCTATGAGAACCAATTCACACAGTTTTGCCAAGGCATTCTGGCATCACCAGCCTCTGTTTTTACCCTGAGCCCCACTTGGCCTTTCCAACCCACTTGCTTTGCAGCAACGCGTTCCCCTCGCTGTTGTTAGAACTGAGCGGCTTCTCCGCACGACGGCTGCTTTTGGGTTCTATTTTTTATATGTTTGGGGCTGGATCCAATTCCTGGGGGGTGCCAGGATGGGCTTTTTTAACACCTGAAGCGGGCTGCCCACTGCCTTGCACCTTGTGTTGGCACTTACACCCGTGGGGAGTGGGTGGTGCGGGGCTGCAGCTCTCCCTGCCTCCCACACCCGCTCAGCACTGGCTGGGCTCGCACAGAGCTGTGGATTATTCCTTGCAAGTACTGAGGAAGTGGAGAACAAGGGCAAAAATAGTTGGGATTTGGTAGCATGTGCAACATCTGACAAACTTCAGTCTCCAGAGGAAGCAGCAATTGATTTATATCTATATTTGTCTTTATGTAATTTGGGTATTGTATTTATATAACTTTTCAGGCTCTTTCTCTAGCAAATGTGAAGAAATAAATGCTAGGTTTTATGTTACCAGCTTCCCTAATAAACCCTTAAAAAGATGTTACTTCTCAGTTGTGTGTCTAAACAGCAAAAGACAATATAGCCAAGTTTTTAGTGGAATCCCTTCTCACGTTTTTCAATTTGCAATATTTTTTCAGTTATGTTAACCTTGTTGACAGTATTTTTTCTGGGAAAGCAGACACTCCACATTCAGATCTCTCTTGTATTTTCATTCCTAGGGCTCTTTGCACTTCACTGCTAATTAACTTCCAATAACTGTCATAGGGTTACAGTCAGTCAGCATGAATCAGACAGAAAATGTAGCTTTAGGGGACCACACTCTGTCAAAAACTATTAGCAACCTTGCTTGATTTCCGAGAACGTACTCACTCAAGAAGAAAGAGCAGCTATTAGGCAGCACACAACCACAGTAAGAAATCCTTAATAACAGAGACTTGGTGCTTTTGTTAGAGCCCTCCTTCCAGAGCAGCTCTGATTAATTATGTGGCATTTTCCTTGCTTCCCATTTGTTTGTTTGGCTGCCTAACTGGTGCTGTTGCTTAGGCCAAAGCTTGGGTTCTGAGCTTAAAGGTGGTATTTTTAACTATTTGTTCACAAATATGATCTGAAAGGGGAGGTTGCTTACAGGTACAACTCAGCTCACAGAAGCTGTGCCCTTCCCAGGTCTGAGAAAGTTGAGTGAGACCAGCTTTTGGCTGGGAGAGCCTTGGTGAAGACCTGACTGTAGCACACAGCGATGCTGGTGGCACCGGGAAGGGGTCACATTCCCAGGATGCAGCATGCAGGGCTCTCAAGCTCAATGCTTTTGACAAATTGCCACTTCAGGATTGGGAAGGCAGCAGGTGATCTGTGCAGAGTCACGTCCCAGGTGTGTGCTTTTCCCTCAGGCTTTTGGAGCTGTGGGTTATGCCACCCAATACACTCTAACCCCTGAAATGCTCCTTAATGTCATCCACAATGCCCTTGTCTAGCTGCTTAAAAGCTGAATGCAATGCTAGATGTAACACCAGATCCTCTTTGTGCCACTGAATCCTTTTTGTTCCACAGAGACCTCAGTTACTGGCTGAGGAGGATTTGTTTGGCCTTTGCAGCCACAGAAAGAAGCCCCAGCTGTGCAAGGAGGTGGTGGGAAGGACCTCAGCTCCTCAAACCCCACCTGCCTTGGGTCCCAGTGCTGCTAGGACAGCCTCTCTCCCCCGCAGCATCTGCCAGCTCCAGAAGCCAGGGCCGAAACACTCGGGGTTACAGCTCCCACCCCACAAGGTGATACTCATTACCCAGTTACAGCCTGTTGGTTACTTTCTAATTAAAGCTAACAGGCTT